CATAACATCTTAACATTCTGATTTTTGTAGCAAAAGACAGATCATGTCACTTGAATACTCTCGACATTTTTCGAAATGCTTCCCTAGCTCTTTCAATTCTATATTTTATTTCTAATGAATGATCCCAATCTTCATTTATTGTTGTTCCGAGGTACTTAAATCGTTGTACTTGTTCTATTTGTTAATTTTTAATTATTAAATGACCTCCTAAGTTATGATTTTTTGATATTATCATAAACTTTGTTTTCTTGGTATTTAGAATCAAGCCATATCTTTCGCTCACTTTGACTACTCTGTCCATTATATATTGTAACTCTACAATGTCATTTGTAAAAATTACCGTATCGTCAGCGTATCTAATGTTATTTAAATATTCCCCATTAATCTTAATGCCATCTTCAATTCCTTCTAGAGCTTCACGGAAAATAAATTCCGAATATATATTAAATAATAGCGGTGATAAAACGCAACCCTGCCTTACTCCACGCTTAATTAATACTTCCTCCGATAGTTCTCCATCGACGCGTATGACTGCTCTTTGATTCCAATATAGATTATTTATAATTCTCAAATCTCCTTTATCCACTCCAACATTATCCAGTATTTTTATAAGCTTGTTATGTTTTACATTATCAAATGCCTTTTGATAATCAATGAAACATGCATACATGTTCTGATTAACATCTCTGGCTCTTTGAAATAATACTTGCAGGCTAAAAATAGCTTCTCTTATGCCCATAGCATTTCTGAAACCAAATTGTATGTTGCTCATTTGTTCTTCACAAATTCTAAAGATCCTCTGATAAATTATTTTTAAAAATAGTTTTAATAAGTGACTCATAAAACTGACAGTACGAAAATCGTCGCAACGTTTTGCACTTGGCTTTTTCGGTAGTGTAACAAAAGTAGTTTTTAGCCATATATGAGGTAAGCTCCCAGAATTGTATATTCTATTGAATAATTTAGTGAGCCAGGATACCCCTTCTTCATCTAATAACTTTAAAAATTCACCATATATATTATCTGGACCAGGAGATTTGTCCTTTTTAATTTGTGCCATAGCTCTTACTACTTCTTCTATCATTATAGGTAAGTTTTCCATCTGACCAAAATCAGGTACCCTTTCTGGTCTACTTATATCTTCATAAAGTTTTTCAATGTAATTTCTCCAAGTATTCATTTTCTCTTCTTTATCTACAATAATTTTGTCATTTTCATCATGCAATCTCCCCATCGTATTTGACTTATACATTCCTGCTGCTTCCTTTACTTTTTTATGTAAATTGTAACTATCATGTTTTCTTTCCAAATTTTCAATTTCTACACATTGATTTTTCATCCATTATTTCCTTTGCTTTACGTATTTCTCTTTTTAAACATTTTTGGCTCTTTTTATATTTGTCTGGGTTATTTTTTAATATTTTTCTTACTTTCATCATTTGCAATATTTTCTGTCATCCATTTCTTTTTCTTATTTTTATTAATTTCCAAATTATCTTTGCCAATTCTCTCTAACGCATTAGTCGATTTCTGAAAAGTTTCCTCTACATTGTTGTTTTCTTTTTTTAAGACTCTGCAAACGTTCTCAATATTTTTTATAATTTTTTTTTTATATTTTTCATTTTCTTCCAATCTTCTCATATCCCATTTTTTCTTATATTGATTTTTAATACATTTTTTAAATCTTATTCTGAAACTACCAACTAAATGATTATGATTTGATTCAATATCAGCACCAGGATATGTTTTTACTCGCAAACAGCTATTCCTAAAACGCTTTTTAATAAACATGTAATCAATCTGATTTCGAACTATGTCACCAGATTGATCACGTGGTGATCTCCATATGTATAAACGTCTTGGTGGCAATTTAAAAAAGGTGTTTAACACAGCTAAGTCTTCATTTTCAACAAAAATCTTCAATCTTCCTCCGCGTTCGTTTTTAACACCTAGACCATAATCACCAATGAGATCGCCACTTTTACCTTGTCCAATTTTAGCATTCATATCTCTTATAATAATTTTCATTTCATGTTTCTTAAATGTTTTTAGAATATCTGATATTGTACAATAAAATTGTTCTATTTCAACATCATCTGCGTCATAAGTAGGGGTATATACTTGTACTAGGTTTATATTTACTGAATTCCCACTTAACTGAATAACACCAATTCTTTCTGATATTGGTACAAAGTTTATGACATATTTTTGCATTTCGCATGATACTATAAATCCTACTCCATGAATATGTTGATTTTCCTCATTTCCAGAGTAATAAACTTTATGATTTTCTATACTACATTGTCCATTACCTGACCATCTTATCTCACTGATTCCCATTATGTCTATTTCAAATCTATTCATTTCAGCTATTGCATTATTAATTTTTCCTGCTTGGAACATTGTTCTTACGTTCCAAGTACATAATTTTATTGGTTTCTTTGATACCTTAATGCTTTGGTTATTAATCACCTTCTTCTTTTTACAAGGATTTCGCATGTTGACGACATGGGAAGCCTTGTAGCTGTTATAACTTCCCTTGCCGAATCTTGGCTTGATCCGAATATCATGATTATTACTTGCATCGCGCACATTCACACTTGCCATTATGACATACTAGGGATAAATAATCAGGTGGATTCCCGTTGCCTTTCTGATCCTAACGCCGTTGACCATACTGTTTGGTTCATCCGTCTTTGAGGTTAAAGTCAACCTCAGAATAATAGGGTGTTCTTAACACTACTGGAATCGTATACTTGGTACTTTCAACCAGTAATAGCTCGGGGCCCCGGGTTCGCCAAAACCATACTACTAATTACTTAGTATTTCCCTGAGGGTATTATATTATCTAATAAAATTTATTTACTTCGCCACATAATAATTGTTATGTACCTATATTTTATAGATAAACGATAGTCAATAATATTAAACGCAGATGCGATTATAATTATTGACACAAATGCCTATAGTTTGGTTTGTAAATTTAGGACTATATTCTAAAACCCGGGGAATTCAGCTAGAGTAGGTAATAATAGATTGTTGAGGTACGTTATACGTCGTGTACACGTTTACGGGTATCAGATCAACCAAGTGCTAATACATAATATGGGTATCAAAATATCTTTAGTGATCATTGCCCAAATCCCATGGTATCAAAGCAGAATTTCAAGGGGTACCACCACCCAATTGGTTATGAAGCCACGGCCTCATGAAACACCGTATCGCGCCACCATTGTATATACTTATATATTAAACGGTGACCAATGTATAGGCATGATGATACCAATATAGACATCACCGTAAGACTTTTTTCAAAACTTCAACTATTTATATTTTATTCAAGCTAATTTCAGTTATATTTTATAAAATTTATAAATTGAGTACATATTATATAGTTTCCTATTTTGTGTTCAATGCAACGAGAAAAATGTAGAGGAATCTTTTAATGTTTCTATAAAAATCAATGTTTAATGTACCAGTATATTAATATGAAAATATAAATTATAGTTGATACAAAATCTAAAAAAAACTATAAAAATAAGTTATTAATAATAATTACAATAATAACTAATATATAAGTATATAGAGCATATTTTAATAATTATATTATTCTATTATTATAAATACAAATGGAGAGTTATATACAATCACATGATATAAATTAATTTTTAATTTTTCTGTACCTTAGTAGCAAGTCATTTATGGTTTTTAAACTTTATTTTTACTTTTTTAGGAGTAATTAATACCCGGAAACTCCTCACGAAAATACGTCACTGTATATGTATATATGTATATATAATATATATATATATATAATATAATAAAATATAATAATATAATATATATATAAATATAAATGTCAAATCAAATATCTGAATTGCCTGTTCATAATACAATTTAAAAGTGAATGAATAACTATCAACAAATAAGTATTGCTAAAAAGCAAAAAATAAATAGTGAATGTAATACAATACGTACGATTTTCAAGCACTTGTTGAAGGAATAGCAAGACTAGAAGGATATAGCATTTTCAAGTTACTTCGGAAATACCATTTACATAACTCTCAAAAGGTATTCAACGTTCCGCGAATGAGTACCTCAAGTTTGAGTTTGTATTACACCTGGTGTCAGGTCCTAATTCCATAGAATGTCCTGATATAAATATACATTTTTCCCGAAAAAAATTGGGCTACAAATCCTGTGTTTTGTGAAACATTATAATTATCATAATTATTATTATTATTAAATGTCACAATATTTACTCTTAATATATTAATAATAATTATGCACAAGTAAATATAATTGTTCGGTACGTTCGACTTTCTGAAACAAATTTCAATGTTCCATAATAAGACCAAAGAAATATATTATTACACTGCGTTATGGTAATTTTCGTTCAATATAAAAGTATGTAATACGGTACTACAAAGTTTAATGCTTCTTTTAAAAGTGATTGCACGTTTGATTTAACCAATGTCGTGTTTCAATCAATCGGATTTCCGTTGATGGGAAATCGTATTAGATGTTTTATAAGATAAACGTAATAGTCCAATTGTCATTTATTATGAAACAATACATTACAATTTCAATAAATTGCCTCTCATCTGATTCAATGAATTTATTGTAAATAATAGGAATTATATATATATTTTTTTTTTTTGTCCAATTTTCACTGAGAAATCTATCTATCTCGCACATTTCCATGTGACATTTAAAATGCATTGCCGTTGAAGTTGGACTATATATTATTTCAAGTTCATTGAAGGCGTTTTAAATTATTTTGTTTTTCAGCACACGTGTTTACATATGAATCTAAAGTCTCAAATAAATTTATGGTGCGTTAACATATATGTCTGTGTAAAATATATACATATTATCGGAAATTTAGTAATTATTTTTGTGTTGTACTTATGCTGAAAAATATATCAATACTACTCCAAAAGAGGATGTATATTTGATAAATTGAGAAATAAAAAATTATTAAAAAACTATTTGGGTCATTATAGGTCTGTTACAGTGTCGTAAAAAGCTTTAGAACCGCTGGATGGTGTCTACTCACATAGTGAGTAAATTAGTTAATTAATTTATTAGTCGTCTTCATTAGAAACTAATGGAACTCTTTATGAGCTACTAGTTCGTTGCCCAATTAAATGTTGTTTATAATATTTATCGTCAAATAGAGTAGGTATGAACTAAAAATATTTTTATTCGCCTGACATAAATCGATTTTTAGTTAATATGAACATCAAAAGGTCGTAATTTACTTCTGTTATTTTGTTTGATTTTAAGTTATTTATTTCTAACGTAAATGTTCGGTCGTGTACTTAACTACATTAACTTAAACATTGAGAATTCATCAAATAAACGAAAATTTAAATTTGATAGTTAAAATGGAAAAGTAGAAGACAAAAACATCGAAATATTATGTCGGATTAAAAAAAATAAAAATAAAAATATGAAGTGACGTAGTTTCTTTCACTTCAACTCTTGCCACCGAAAAATAATTATTTATAGTTCAGTGTGAACTATTCCGCTCTAGATCACAACCTCACCGGTTAGGTCAAAATCTGTTACGGATTGAGTCATGAATATTATTTTCCAAATTTTAAAATAGAATAAATTTTATTTTTATGTTTGTAAAACTCGACTTAATTACAATTAACCAATTTATATTGTTTTAAATATTGTGGCTATTACATCGTATTTTTATTCCACATTCATTCCAAAGTTTTTAGTAAATCAAAACCACTAATACGGAATATACAAAGACTATTTTATTATAAATTTATTGTTTATTTTTAACAATATGAACATCAACTTTTATTTTATAATACTTAACCGTTAATAATTTATCGTATTGGACAACTTGATTTTTGATAGAAATGTATGGACTATATGGTCATCAACAATCTAAAAATTAAAATGATTGGTAAAAATTATTTAAATTATAAAAACAAATTGAATTTGAATAATAAGTGTTTTAATAAAAATTGTATAAAGACAGACAATTCGAATAGTGTATTAAATTAATTTTTCACGATTTCGTTTTAATCTCATTTTCTGTGTTAATAATTTTAATATAATTTATAGTTATTGTTATTGGTTTTATTGTTTTTATAATTTAATAATATGAAAACATACAATAATAGCCATAATCAAATGTATAAACAAAAATGATACACTTCCAACCAAATTGCATGACACGTGCAAACATTTTATTGTATCTACACAATATTTATTAAATGTTATTGTACCACGTAATACGTGTACAAAGCCTATACACTTAATGATATAAAGAGATTCTTTGACATTTTTTCTTTCACATGTAATTTAACAAATTATAACACATAACTTTCCATGGTTACCATTGTTTCATATTCAATGTTATTATTTTTGTGTTACATTATAACAATGAGTATGATCCGCGAACATTTGATATATTTTTTCCACGTTTTGGAAAAAAATAAAATAAAAATGTATCTTCGCCAATTATCAATATTACTCTACGATGATTATCATTTTTGTTCGTATGAATAAAATATTGAGGTCTAAAAAAAAAAAAAAAAACAAAAAAACAAACTCACTTCGAATGGCCTGTTAAATGCTGTCACTGAAATCTCAATAAATTTAGTATCCGGTTCGACGATCATGCAAAGTGCCTTCAAAGCCAGCTCTATTGCTCCGAAAATTCCTCTATTAGCAGACGAATAGTTCTGAGCCAATAAATTTGTTATCAGCTCGCTCTCTCTTCCTATGGCGCAAGCCTGTATGAGTGGAGTAAAAAGTAAATAATCATATCAAAGCAATTTTCCTAGGATACAATGATCGTACTTACGAGAACATGTGATATTGTGCCGTAAGTATCAGTAACGTACAAAAACCGTTCATTTTGATCGCAAGACGCCACCATAAAATGTTCGGTGTAAGGCAGCGTCGGTAGATTGTTGAGTACTCTGATATCGGGATCTATTTAATTTGAATTTAATTGGTTTTATAATAAATATAACTAGAAATGACCAAAAAGGTACATTGAACATAAATGCCGTGTGCAGGTCGGGTTAAGATCGGAACAAATTTAGTTGATGGAAAATAACTAAGCTTAAAACTTTAGTGCCATAAAACATAAACCATTGGAAATATTAGCATATTAGTTTTTATACATTCATGAGATGAATTCACTATAGAACTTATATAATGTAAAACAACGTCATAAGTGATCTCTTTGAAAAAAGTCTTTGGAAGTCAACGATTGAGGGTACCGGTATGATTGGACAATTCATAAGTACATAAGTATTGCATCAGTAGAGTATACAAAACGCAAAGCATTACACGTGGTGCTGATAATGTTTTTACTGTTATGGTTATAAGTGTTTCGCGTGTATGTAAAAGGGTCAATTTTTATTTCCGAAATCTGAAGTAGACTGAAAACTTGATGTTATTAATTTTAAAAAGCAAATCGATTTAACGATGGTATTTGTTTCGCTCACTCAAGTCATTCAAAAATGTAAATCTGTTGATATTATCTTAAAGCATTTGTGTTATTGAAGGAATAAAAGAATACCTAGGCACGTTAAGAAATTATAATAGTTGATAAAGCTCGGCTGTAATTATTTTACAATACTTTCTTATGGAGTTCGTACCAATTAAAAACTCAGCGATGCGGTTGGCTGGAGAATTCAGCCCGTGTATACTGTTTGTGTATAATTTGGCTTTTTCAACAATCTTCAATGAATCATGCGATTGTCCTATATAAACAATTTACATAATTTAATACTAATTTGTACAATACATAATAAATATAGGGGGAGTCATTTTAAATGTGGGCAGGTACAAGTTTTCAAATATACATTTAATTTAACACGAATTTCAAAACAAAATCGAGCTCGTAAAATGTATCTAAATATAACTTATTAACGGTATATTGACCGCAAAAGTTGATATTTATAAATATATCAATTATTCGATGTATGTTATCTTGTATTTACATATATTTTTTCTTTTATAAGGACATTATCACTACTTAAAGCTTACGATTAACTGTCCGTTTTAACATAAGTTTTTCATAAAAAAAAAAAAAAAAAACAAATAGCAATGGAATAGTTAAAAAAAAATATCAAAAATTGTTTTCATAACTGTCTAATAATAAGTGTTAACTATAAATACATAATCGAGTTTATTATCAACGTTTCTTTTATAATCCTTTTCCAAGTTGATGAATTAAGACTGCTGTCAAGTTCGTAAATATCAAAAAAACATTATTATGAGTTTACTTATTTATTATAAGTATAAATTTAATTTCTTATTAATTTTTTTTTCCTTAATTGTTCCTATGATTGTTAATTTTAGTAATTAAATTTGAAAAATTATATCTTGATATAGAAATTAATTCTTTATAATTATAATTAATTAATTAATTATAATTGACACAAATACTCAACATAGTTAATTTTTATAATGAAATTAATATTTTAACCATTTTAAACATAAAATAAAAATAAATGGTTTGAATCTCAATTTTAAATCTCAATAAATATTTTATAATAAACCCATACAACTAAATCATTAATAATACCGATTTCTTAGAACTCTAATAGTTAATACTATGAACAATTATAACAATTATAACTATCGGTAATCTAAATACAACATTCCGAGAAAAAAAATCTATAATGTATGGAACATAATCCTTTAATTTTCATGAATTTAATTATTATTATAATGTTAAATCTTAAGAATTTTAAATAAAATATTTTATGAAGGATTTATTTTTTATAATTGTCTAACCTAAAAACAGTGTTATTGTGTCTTAATATGATACTACTTAAAAATATTAAATTCTGTAAAACTTTTTTCATAGAAATTGAACTACTAAATTTAATTTTAACTCACTTTTATAAATAAGTTCAAATAAATCAAAGGAAAATTTTGTTTCTATTTTATTATTTTTTCGCACACATTTCAAATAACAATAATTTCGAAACTATTGTTTTAGTCCTTTGGAATATAAGAATAAAACTTTAAATCGATAAAAACCAATAGCTACAAAATGCAATGCGTTCATGTAATGCACAGTGGTATAATTGGTTTGCATTAATGGATTAATTGCTCAGGGGTGATAGTGATGATATTAATTTCGGATTATACTGTAGATATAGGGTTTAACTTTTGGTTACCTGACCAGGCGACGGTGATTTGACCATCCAGCGAACAAACAGAGTTTTGACTCGAGTTACACTTTTCCGCAGCAATAACAACACAATTACTTCCCACTACGCCGACCTTGATTGAAAAAAAAGAAGAAAAAAAACACACTTCAACGATGTAACATTTTCAACACATTTTTTAATATGATAAAATGAAGACGCGACTGTACGGTTGTCCGTTAAAAAAGAACTTACCACCAGGTTGCTGCCGTCCATTTCACCGTTTCCTGATATGGTTTTGGACATTTTCAACGTTCAATATTTACCGAACACGCGTACAAAACGCAGACGACGTAATCGGACGACTGGCAAAAAAACTGTCTTTCACAGACACTGCGGTCGAATCACATTTTTCCACAGATGCAATCGGCGTAATGTTCGCACTGTCAGTCGTGATTTGCCGTATCAATTAATAATCGTTATACGTTTTCAAACGCATTTAAGTAAAAAACAAAAACAAATACATGTATTTATTTATTTAATTTTATGGAACGTTTTTGAATCAGAATAATGTACACATTAAACATTTTGACGGTTTCTACGACATTATTGTTTTGTAATCGTTTAATCTGCTATCTGTGGCATAGATGTATGATACTTATTCTATCTTAATCTACTCTACAAGAGTTTTTGCCCCTCCCCCCACTCAACTTCATACCATGTCTTTCGATAACGAATTACATTTTCCCAATTATTTAAACGAGAGGATTGCAATTACAATGTGAGCTAGTTTTTCGGAGCAGTTATCATGGCTAAAATTATTGAGTTTCATTATCATCCTGTGATTGTTATAACTAATACATAGTATCAAATAGGTAAATATTATTTCTATATTACTACATTATTATTTTATATTATAATATAGTATATATAATAATATTATATTATATTATATAACTGGTTTTTTCTATATACGACACTGAACTTAATGTTCTGGTCTTATAACACAATAAAAAAATTGTGTTTAAAAAGAATTATAACTATTCCAGCATCCAAACTGTGCCGCAACTAGAAGTGGGTCTGGGGGTGATCAGCACTATCAAGGGGCCTCAGCTAAGAACAATTAAGGATTCAAAATGCATAGAATTTATTGTACTGTATACATTTGAAAGAATATCAAGGCCAGTGGCACAGGAACTATTTTTTCATTATTTTCCAAATTATAGTTTTGTCCACCTTATATCCGAGAGGTCAATTTTCTCCACCATTTTATCTGATGACACAGCAAAGACTTAAGGTAAATTGAAAAATAACGAATATTCTAATTCACTGTAAATATTAATAGAGCTAATAACGTCAGAATTTAGATTGTTTATCATATTTATAGATTTTATATTATATTTAGTGATAACAAACACAGGATGATAATGAAACTATCGTTAATTTCAGCCATGATAACTGCTCCAATTAACTAGCTCACGTTGCTGTCGCGATCCTCTCGTTTATTTAATCCTATCATTTTAAAATCTTCCAGGACTATGTCTATTCATATTTTCCTTGAACGTCCTCGTCGCTTCTTCCATGTTGGTATGTAGGACATTATTGCTTTATTTATGTTATCGTCATATCCATACATCATGTGCTCAAACCATTGGATTCTTTGACCTTTTATGTAACATTTAATTAGAGCCACATTTTTTTTCCTTTAAAAGTTCTTTGTTAAACTTTCTCCTCCACATACGAGTGTTTGTAACTAATTTGTGTTCTCATATCATCCGCTATATCTCGTTCTCGTTTTCGAAAATGTTGCTGATGAATTTGGGAAAAATAAAATAAAATTGTAATTTGTGTTCGATTAGTTAATAAAAGTGTTAATTAAGTATAAAAGTGTTTGATTATTAATAAAAGTTAAAGCTATCACCTCTGAATTTTCATTTGCGGGCACCCTTACTTTGAATTGACTAGACATACCTTAGTATCCTTATGAAATTTAATTGTTTCAAAATCGATACACCTATAGATTAGATGGTAGAATTTGATATTTGTTAGAAAAATCAATTTTTCAGTTTTATACACATTCATTTGTACTATAGTATTATCTAAATCATCTTTTTTCATGTTCTAAATGCTTTTATCGAGTTGAAAGCGAATAATATTAGTGCGTAATATTAGTCATATGTACCCATATGAAGTCGAAATTGAAGTATCGAATTAAATAATGTAAATTAGGTACATGCTTCAACGTATCAATTTTCGATTTACTGTAAAAATGATAATTATATATGACGAGTAACATCTTTTTTTTCTTCATTTACTTACTCATGTTTTGCGTTGAAAAAAAAAAAATAATATGCATTTTTGAAAATATCAAATCTGAAAACATCCAGAGTTTCTATTGAACTGAATGTCAGACAATTTAAGTATATAATCTTGATATTAAAAAGAGATTTAGGATGAAATTATAAAAAAAAAAAGAAATATACTTCACGGTGCTCATATAAACTTTACTATAACGTTCGTGTTAAATGACCCATTATAAAAATTAAATTGAGTTTTATTCAGAAGACGTTTAAAATTTTTATTTTCTTACTTTTATACTGAATACATTATGACACAAAACTAAAATTATTTAAGATTCACATTAAATGTTAACGTCTTCAAATAAGTCTAATAACATGGTTCAGTTACTTTTTTGGTATTCTAATTCAACCATACACGTGATATTTGTCATCAAAAATACGAAACACAAAACCGTAAAACTAAAACCTACTGCAAAGCATTTTAAGCTGAGGTTATGAATAAGTTTATTGTGAACATATTACACATTCGTACACATTTAAATAACAATATTTATTTAAAAAAATGTATTTAAAAATATATTCAATAGTAGAATGTTAATTTGTATTCTTATATTTTTTATATTTTTTTATATTTATATTATTATAACTTATTTATTATTTATTTAATTTATTTATTTATTATACTGTTTAAGTTTTGAAATACTCTTTAAAATTATTATGTATATTTATATTTAAATACTTAAAAAAAATTTTTTACACTACCATATTTCATGATCTGTATTAATATTTAAAACATAATTTAGGTAAAGTTAGATTAGAATAGGTTAAATTTACTAAATTTGATAAGTAAACTAAATAACTGATGTATAAATTATAAATGAAAATTGTTCTTTCGTCAGCGTAGAAATCAATATGAGGCATTGCTATTAAATTTTATATAATTTGCTAGTATAAATTATTATTTGATAAAATTATTTTATTTTCCATTTAATAATATCGTATGCAGTTTATCATCGTTCATATAATCCATGAATAATAATTTAAAAATCGATCACAGGATAAATAAATTAGAACTAAATAAAATTAATGAATAACATTATCATAAATCGAATAATACGAATGATTGTTATAATAAAGTAAATACAACATAAATAAATCATCAAAAGAATTGTTAGGTAAATTAATTCCAGTATATTTATAAAAAAAATAATTATAACCCACTGAGGGTAAGCATATATATTTTTAGTATATATACTTCAATGTACAACTCCATAAATAATAAAATAATACCCTTTAAAAGTTACATTTAAGGTTTTTCTATAACTTATTACAAATAACAAATAATATTTATGTAACAATAACAATATTTTTACACTCAAATTCAAATAAATTAAGAAATTCATAAAAAAAAAAAACAAATTGAAATGAAGTTTTAATGAAAATTATAAGTTTTTCAATTTGGAATACATATTTTATAACGATAATTAAAAAAAAAATACGTTATTGAAAAAGGTTCATTTTAAAATGTACATTGAGAATAAAAGGGTTAACGGCTAAAAATAATGTTAATGGTTTTTTTTTAATGAATGTAATTTTATTCAAGTATTTATTTATAATTTATAATTTATATTTGTATACACAAAAAAATAATGTGTTAAGTTGGAGTTGAAACATTTTTTTTCAATTTGTCATTAGTAATATAACACAAGCATAATATAACCATGAATACGTTATTAAAAATTGAAAGCTAGTGGAAAATGTAATTCATTACAGTCTTAGTATTTTAAATAATCAATTTTTATTTAATATTTTTTAAATTTCTGTATGAACTACAAAAAATGAGATTCTTGTAAATTTATCCTAGGACATTTGTGTTTAATGTTCTTAAGGAGAATAAATATGCTTCAACCAAAGTGTTTCAAACTATGGTCTTGATGGTCATATGATGATACCCATCATATGACCATCAAGACCATAATTATACCAATTATGTATAACCGAGTTCCTTTGTATTTTTACATGTAGCTTTATTTTCTTTTGTAACATTAAAAAATGGGTTAAGTACCTATACTTTTATAAATATATTTCCCGACACTTCTATACAAATCAGAATTGTTATGTTTTGACCAAATATCTGTTTCAATTTTTATAAAAAAATTTACCATAAATTAAACATTTTCATGGCCTTTTTTTTAGCATAATTGTATTTTACGTGAGTACAATAGAAGAATCAATGTGGTTTATGTTAGATGGTGCACTTCTTCATCATACAAATGCAGTTAGACAACAATTACATTATTTTTTCCCTGACAAACGTATAGGTAGAGAAGCGGGAAACAATACTCAATATAGCCCAGACATAACATGGCCACCACGTAGTCCTGATTTTAACCCATGTGACTTTTCTTATGGGGTTTTAAAAAAGAACAAGTTTATGCCAAAGAAGTAAATAATAGAGATGAATTTTTGATGAGAATTAATAATGTAGCTGATGTTATTCGTCAAATGAATTGGAAAAAACTTGGAGTTTATTACATTGTCGTGTGGAAAAGTGCATAGAAGTAACGGGGGTCACATTGAACAACTTTTGTAGATAAAAATCGATTTTAAAATTAAAATGTATTTAATTATAATTTTTTACAATGTTAAAGCTGTTTTAATTACTTATGTGTGTTAACTGACAACAAACTACTATCACCACTGTTTATCTTGAAGAAATGTTCTCATCCGAATCGACGTGTCACACGACTATTTTTTATACAGCGACTCGAGCCCAAAAACAGTGTGACGTCTCGATTCGCATGAGAATTTAGCAAAAAATACAACTATAGTGTTTATTTTTACATTTAAGGTCATGTCCTAAAAATAAATTGAATAAACCAAGATTTTGGAGATTGAAAAAATTTCAAAAAATCTACTTTGGGCCATCACAATGAGTACGCGTATACTAGTGTCCTCATACTTTCCAGTAATACCCTATATAATGTGAACGATATGATATATTATATTATAATTTTTTTTTTTTAATCATATATCGTTTGTATTAATTTTATTCTACTACTTGATTTTCTTCACTGGCGGAGTTTACTTGAACTCAATTTTACCTAAT